TTTCTAATTACCTCACTGAGTGTTTTACTTCCTTCTTCATTTCAGCCCGAGTATTCTTCAATATTTCTAACTCTTTTCTGAATTCATCCAGAAGTTTATCCCTAACTTCCTTCAGTTCTTTGATTTTTTTGTTTGTGTGTTCTTTAAAATCACTGAATTCTTTTATCATGTTTATAATTGTTGTTTTGAGTTGCATGTCCTGCATTATCTTTAGGGGGTTCTCATTTTACTCCTCTAGAGAACTATTAGTATTTGGTGGAGATATGTTATTTGGTTTTTCATGTTATTATTTTTCTCGGTGATTTTGGCATGTGAATTTCTTTTGTAGTTTCTGGTTCTTGTGTGAGACTCGGGCTTTCAAGTTTAGGTCTACTTCTTTTTGTCAACTTTATGTGTCTTTGTGGTTTACTTTTTGGGCATGAAAACATGGTTCTTATAAGCTTCCTGTTCTCTCTCCTGATTTTTATAGTGGAGTGGACAGATTGATTTTGTCTTCAGGAGTGCCCACAAAGGTCCACATCAGATGAGGATCAGATGCTCTCAGGCTTTCTCCTAAATTCTGGATCCCTCCACTAAAAATTTTGGTCTCAGGAATTTGGGGGTTAGACTGGCCTGGGAGCCTGGCCCAGGAAAGATGCTGGTCTAAGGCAGCTGGTGGCCATGCCACCCAGAGATGCAAAAGCAGATGGGGCAGGAAGAGGCCCCAAGGACTCCTGGGGACTGCACTGAGGAGCTGGGTTGGTCTGGGTGCAAAGGATCAGGAAGAGTAAAGGTCAGCTCCCAAGTCCCAGAAAAAGGATGACAGGTGGTGCAGGCCCAGGGAAGCAGGGGGAGTTGAGAGCGGGGCCAGGTCCAGAAGCAGAGCTCCTGGGGCCCACAGAAAGAACTAAGTTGGTCTGGATGAAAAGGGTCAAGAGCAGTATTGATTCACCAGATGTCTTGGGCCCCAAGACCAGGAATGGGCAGGGTCCAAACTCGGAGGAGAGAAGGGTGGGGAAGATGGGAGGGTGAATGGGGCTGGGGGAGTTGAAGCGTTGAGGGCATGATGGACTTACCCCGAGAGAGGCCTGTGGTGGGAGAGAGGCCTGTGGCCCACATTGACTTTTGCACTCACAGAACAGAGGGCAACATGCACATTAGACTGTAGATGTGACACTCTGAGCAGGGAAATAACAGGTTCCCAGTAAGGCTCATGCAGCACCATTAGACTCCTAATCTTCCTGATGCAGAATCAAGGCAGAGCTGAAGTATGTCAGATATTTGGGGTTGGATTCCTGACCACATCTTTTGGCTTTTCTCCTACTGTCAGTGGTAAGCCAAGGATATCTGCTAGAGGTAGCCCCTGATTCCCACATAACATATTTTGTATTTATTAGTTTTCTTTTATGTGCATGTGTGTATTGCCTACACTACATGTATGTAAGTGCAACTGTGTCATGCAATGCCTGCAAAGGACAAAAGAGGCCCTCAGATCCCCTGGAACCAGAGTTATGGACAGTTGCTAGCTGCCATGTGGGTGCTGGGATTCGATCCCTGGTCTTCTGTAAGAACATGCAGTGTTTTTCCTCCAGCCCCACCACATAACTTCTATTAAACAGAATGGAAGCTGCATAGACTAACTTACTTCTTTACAAGTACAGCAGCAGATAAACTGCATCTCCCAAAGGCTCAGACCATAAAAGGCTCCATATACTTCCAGTATGGAGCCCTTCAAGAATTTGCTTGACATCCATGCACAGAGGCCATCCTATTCTTCTCTGCACACTTCCAATTTGAGTATATGTGCTACAAAGCAAGCACGATTCCCAACTATTTTTTGTGCAATGTTGAATGAATAATGTTATTATTGAGTATGCATTTGTGATTGGAGTTAGAAGATTAGGAACAGAACTATTCTTATTCATATTTAGATTTTTATATAAAACTTTCTTTAGAACATACTAATACAATGTATTAAAGAAAAGCAATATCAACTCATATTTCTTCTCTTACACATTCTCTCTTGCCCTTGTGTTGTCTTGCAGCACATTACAATGCCATAAGAACACCCTGCCAGATGCTGACCTTTTGGTCTCAGACTGCTGAATCTTTGAAACCATTAGCCAGATAAATTCCTGTTCATTCTAACTTGCTGACTGTGATAATTTATTTTAGCAGTATAAGAAAATCTAAGTTAGACAATTAATTCTTGGAATTGAGGCAATTGATAGTCCAAAAATCAAAAGTGGTGGAAGCAGATTTGAACCATATAATGGGAAAGTAATGGAAAAATTGGAAAAATAACAAACTAGAAAAAAATAAAGACTTTCACAATTGGACTAGAGAACTATCCCAGTGAGGGCTCAGAGGAGAAAGGGAGACTCATCTCAGAAATGTATAAATATTTGTCATCATACTGTTGGTTATGATATAGGTGTAAAGGCATTCTTATTCTATGATCACACAGACTTGATGCAAATACATCTTGTTTTAGGGCTTTGCCAAAGATATATTAAGGGGATAGAGGGATGACAATGATTTAGCATGCTGGCTGTTCTTGTAGAAGATCCGGGTTTGAATCCCAACACCACCATGGTGGCTGACAACTGTCTGTGACACCAGCTCCAGGTGATCCGACACCTTCTTCTCCCCACTTAAGCATTGCAGGACATGACAAAAGTATACTTACATACATGGAAGCATAACACTTATACACATAAAATAAAAATTAAAATAATTTGAAAAGCAATGTTAAAAATAATGAGTTACAATATGAAATAGAAAAGAAATTATCTCTGCAGCAGAGCTTCCCAAGTGCTATCTGACTCTTTGAGGCTCACTGTAAAAGAGAAGAGAAAAATGATTGTTAAAATGGATTTATCACTTAAAGGTACACCATGCTCCAATGGATGGCTCCAAGCATATAGGCAACATAAATTAGATATGACACACTAAGGAAAGAGTGGACACAAAGATGGGTAAATTTGAAATGGAGCAATTTGCAAGAGGGATGTTAATATGATTAACATTATGTTAATATGATTAAAATCCATTCTACAAAATTTTCAAAGAATAAAAATATTTTAAAAATTAAAAACAACAGAAAGTGTTGCATGACATTCCAAAATATTTATCACACCAATATCAAGGCATCAGAGACAAAAGGACAAAGGACAAAGAAGACTGCAGGAGGAGACTGCGAGGTCCTGGTAGTCAATGTGTAAGTGAATTCAGGGAAACAGTGATGATCAAATAAGAGAACAGCAATGGTCAAAGGATCATTAATCATGTTCTCACTCATTATTTTCCCAATTTCTAGGAAAGAATCTGGTAAAAATATTGTCAGGCTGGTTTATTGATATTTGATAGATAGATGATAGCTGATGATAGATAGATGATAGATGATAGATAGATAAATAGATGATAGATAGATAGATGATGATAGATGATGATAGATAGATGATAGATGATAGATAGATAGATGATAGATAAATAGAAAGATAGATAGCTAGATAGATGATAGATAGATAGATAGATAGATAGATAGATAGATAGATAGATAGATAGATAGATAGATAGATAGATAGATAGATAGATAGATAGATAGATAATAGATAGATAGATAGATAGATAGAGATGGATAGATGATAGAGATGGATAGATGATAGAGAGATAGATAGATATATGATAGATGATAGATAGATAGATAGATAGATAGATAATGATGATAGATAGGTGATGATAGATAGATGATAGATAGATAGATAGAGAGATAGATGATAGATAGATAGATAGATAGATAGATAGATAGATAGATAGATGATAGATACATAGATAGATAGGTAGATAGACACACAGACAGATAGATAGGTAACGGTAGTGTTAATGAAAGGCATAGATGCATAGATATACACATTCTTTTAAAATGCTTTAATTTTTATATAGAACATTTTGCTATTACATCTTGCCAAATGAAGTATATCAAATAAACTTATCAAAAATAAAATGAAGATTTTTTTTTTGTCTTTTTGAGACTGGGTCTCCCTGTAGCCCCAGCTGTCCCAGAACTCACTATGTAGACCAGGCTGGCCTTGAACTCATAGAGATATGCCCACCTCTGCCTCCCAAGTGCTGGGATTAAAGGCATGTGCCACCATGCCCAGTGTGAAGATCTTTTTTTTAAAAAAATAAGTATATATTTAATAAAAAAATTTATTCACATCTATGAAATTCTAAAAAATGAAAACGCTTTAAACTATTGTACCTTTATAGTCTCCTTCAAGCAAGCCATAACTGATAGACTGTAAAAAAATATGAATGTGTAAAGACAAAATAATGCAACAAATGGAATAGAGTTCGGTTTATCTACATATATGGCCATATAATTTGAATACTATAAAAGTCAGAGTCTTCATGGACAATCTAACAAGTTAAAATTTTACTGTGAAATGTTATCACTCTTAGAATTAGAAAGGACAAGAAATAGCAATTAAACTGAAAATTCCCTTCCCTAAAATTATAGGAAATTTAGACATTGGGGCACTTTTATCTTGGGGATAACTAACAGCTCTGTAGCTGGATTGAAGGCCCACTTAATAAGAAGGAATTCATGCCTGGTACAGTAAACCTTGCCAACAACATAAGGATGAAGAGGACACAGACCCCAAAGGAGCACCTACTACTGCCATTTTCCTAAAATAAAAAATAAAAAATCTAGCTATATTCTAAATACTTATACATACAGATAAATTAAGCTCTCATTCATCAAAGAAGCTTATTTTTGCAAGAGTTGAGAATACTGCAGAGAATTACCACTGGTGAGAATGCAGAGAATAAGTGACCATGCAGTGCCCAACCACAACTGATATATCTATAAGGCAACTTGTCCAACTAAGGCTCAAGGAAAATCGGTAAAGAGGAAACAGAAACATCATAAGAGCCAGGGGAACAGAACATCTGCTCCTCTATGGAGTCTTCTAGACATAACAGAGGAGCTGCACCCATGAATTCTCAAAAATATGATTTGCATTAACAAGACCTTCAGAATGACAACACCAGCTGACATGCCAATGTTGATGGAAGGAATATTTCAAGGTCCCACCACCAGATGAAGATATATAGGCAATAATAACTGGTCTCAAAGGAAAAATACGTTTTCTCCAAGGACAAGCTCTCTGACTAGTTAATTGGGTAAATAATCCTAAGTAGTCAGCCCTGAACACAGAAAGATATTTCTTATTCAAACCACCACAGTGCCTAAATTAAAGTCCTTCTGGAAAAATAGAACTATCTGTAAACAAAATGATTTTAAGATGTAAAAATAATTATACTGTCATATGCTTATAACGTTGTTTGCTCTCCTAAATATGTACCATTTAGATAAGTATTCAAAACAATTTCTAAGCATGTTACTATAATGTGCTCGTTAGTTTTGTCAACTAGGTACAAGCCTAGCCATACCTAAGAAAAGGGAATCTCAATAGAGGAATTTCCTTCAGCACCTTAGCTGAAGCATCTTAGCACCTATATACATGGGTGTTCAGGATATATATATATATATATATCTTCCATTACCTTGTCTGGCTCTACAGGAATTCTTGGGATTTGAACTCAGAGCTTCATGTTTGTGCAAGCTCAGTATTGCCAAAACATTTCACATGCTTCACTGGGTTTCAATTTTCCTTGTTGGGTTATATTTTTATTAGAAATTAATTTTCTTGAAGGCATATTGGTATACTGAACTTCCTTTTCTTCCTTTGTTGAGTATTTTTTTTTCTATTTAAAGTAATTTTTCACTTCCCTCCTACAGGCTATTTATTGCTTAAAAATTGTTCATAATTTTCATTAATGTGCTTTTATTTATCTTGAAACATTTAATGATGCTTGTTTCACTTTCTGAATGTTGACATTTTTCTTTATTTGAAAAGTAATATTGTCCTAAAATTGAAGGGTTTTTAAATTCATTAATTTCCTAGAGAAAATTGTGGAATTTGTTAAATTTCTGATGATCATCTTTTTATCTTTCCATATAATTTTAAGTATTTATCACATTGGATTGATCAAAAATTTTGTTTTGAATAGTTTTGATACTTGCAAATTTGAACTTGTTTTCCCAGGAAATACTCTTCATAAGAGACACATGTAGTTTCCTATGTGCACTTTGAAATTTATTATCACAGAATCCATATGGTTGTCAGACTTGTTTTTTCCTCTGATACTTATCTACTCAGTTTACTCACCAAGCATCTACACAGATTATTTCATGCCTCCATTACTCTTCTCAAATTTCTAAAGTTTGTCATTTATTTTTCATTAAAAAATTATGTCACCTTTTGCTTTAAGGGGAAAAAAATGATGTCCTCAGGCCTCAGACACAATTTCATCAAATTCCAATACCACATATAGAAAGCTATTTCCTTTACAACTGATAAAGCAGTGGTGTAATTCTTCCCATGAAAGGCTAATCCCTTTGCTCAGGAGTTTGTTGCTCTCTCTCTCTTTCATAAGCCTTACCCCACAGTCTAGCCCATATCTTTCATATACTTTAATCCTTTGAATTTCGAGTTATTCCTCCATGCCTGTTATTAAACTCACCATAAGGAGGAAAACAGAATTAAACCCCTTTCTTAACCCTTCCCCTTCTTGTTAACATTAAATTTTTTTTCCTCTTAGCTTAAGATAAACATTTCCCTTGTGTTGTTAATTTAATTAATTTAGAACTTTTAATCTTTTTTTCTTTCAATGCATATTTTCATTCAATTTTTGTGCATTTCATGCAATGCGTCTTAATCATATTTAGATCCCCTCCCTTATCTGTATAC